AAATGTGCACATGCATTTTGGAGTAGTAGTTATTACAACAGCAGGATGGCATGGCTACATTGCAACCGCCAGGTGAAAGAGAACAGCTGGCAAAATTACAACACAAAAAGGGGATAGGCAAAACCAACACATAAAGTAACTACAGGGCAGATAGAGACTCAACAGGCTATTACTTTGTTGTCCTTTTATTCTTTTTTTTTTTTTTTTCAAAAAATATGGGGTTGAAATTTTACAAGAATTAGTTACAACATGGCCCTGTCCCATATGCAACCAAAGAACAAGGACAACTTTCTTTTTCCCTATTCCAAGTATTTATTTAAGGTAGGTAGGAGTTTTTTCAAGGATATGGATGATATGAAAGGATGGCATAAAAAAAAAACAAAAATTGTATGTGAAATGTTTGAAGGGCGCGAAAAATTTCCATTACAAGAAGTGCACTAAGAAGACGACAACAATTGTAAAAGAAGGCAGCTGCACAACACATAATAGGAAAAAAGAGGAAACTGATTAGAAATCATTTGGCTATTGCGGAAGAACAATAATTAATATTTGTGATGAGATCCAGTTCATTTCCAATCAAAGGAAGTACACACTTAAATGATGTACATATGTCACTCATCAAGATAATAGATATTCTTTAACGAAAAATACCCTTCTCCCCGGTAAAGAGAGAGCCCATATGCTATGCATCAAACCCAATTTACATGATAACAATCACCAATGTAATTTGTCTGGCTTCTTTCCCGATTTTTATTTAATTATGCATTCTATTTTTCATGGGATTCTTCATTCAAATGTTTTTTTTTTTTTTGAATGTCAAGCGACCTCTCCTATGTTGTAGAGAGCAGAATTGGTGAATTCAAATTCTGAAAACAAATAATTTCACATTTGTCTGGGTTATCAATCACATTTGAATACTCAGCAAGGGTACACTTGGAGCGTTCATTACAAAAGTCTGTAAAAACAATTAGATGAGATGAAATCAAATTAAGATCAACTATTAGTGGAGGACATCAATTTGTGAAGTTAAAAATATTACAAACAACTAAATTTTCCAGTTTCAACCCTATTTTTGTCATATATATGGAATTAAAAAGTAAACAACACTAGAACTAAGGTAGCCAACATATTTCAAGTTCGACCCAACGTGCTCATAAATTCATCTATTTTTTGTTAAAGAGAATTTTAATTTCAGAAGTTGTAATTTATGAATTATAGTGGTGGAAAAATGCATTTAATTCTGACGTTTTTTCTACTGAACAATTTTGGAGGTGTTGAAAAGCCTCACTTCGGCATTTTAATTTTGAAAATTTTTAAAAATTTAAAAAATTCGACCAAGAAACATTGGTTCATCCAAAAAACATCAGTTTTTCGACTTCTATGTTGTTCCACTTCTATGTTGCTCCACAAACTTATCAACAACCACCAAATGTATTTGAGTCCCAAAATATAAAACACAAATATCAATTTTTATACACATTTTTGGGAAAATGTGGTAAAAACCATCAAAATACCGAATATCGGGAGGTATCGCTATATGGGGCTATACAAAAACTGGGACCTACACATACAATTTTTCGCTAACGGAGCTATAACCCTTTAGGACCCACAAATCCTTGAAAAAATGTGGCAAAAATCATCAAAATACCGAATATCGGGAGGTACCTTTATATGGGAGCTATACCAAATCGTGGACCTATACATACAATGTTTTCCCACCGGAGCTAGAACCCATTATGACCAACAAATACCAATTTTTAGACAAATCCCTGAAAAAATGTGGCAAAAACACCGTTATATGGGGACTGGGGACCACATTTGCGCAATAAATAGGGCACACAAGGTACGAAAAAGACCAATTAGCGTTGGCAAAATCACTCGCCAACCATCTCTCGAGATAAATACATTCGTGGCAATAGAATTCCGCACGGTTATTCTTTATTGGACTGTATAAGAATTTGGCGGTTTTGGCTCTTTTTTACAAACTCCATGTTAAAGTACCCAATTTTTTATTTTGAAGGTTTGCAAGTAGCGCATTGTCATAATTAAATTATTCATCACAAATGATAGCCCGTTAAAAACATCGATCCAGTCCATAGTTGACATATTGACTTAATTGATAAAATGTCTCTAAAAAATAAAGTTAAACCTCCACTGAAATAAATAAATCATTCATCAAGAATGCCAACAAGAATCGGTAAAAAATTCAGCCTTTCCCTTGAACTTTTTGATGTGTGGCCAATCCCCCTAAAGTTGCTCAAATTGCCGTTTATAAAATTCTATCGATATTTAATTTTAATTAAAACATTTTGATGTGTACTATTTTCCTCGAATATTAAATTGGCGCCAAACTTCCATTAGACGATCATTCACCAGAAATGACATCCAGTGTCATTAAGAAATGCAGCCCCTATGTAAATATCGATCAAATTGACTTACGTGTGTGTGTACTTTACAGCGCCTTTTTGTAATCTCACATAAAAACGCGAAAATGCGTCAAATAATTTTGGCTTATTCAATGAAAGTTCAATCATTAACCATATTAAATTTGATGTATAATATACAATTAGACCCTATTTAAGTAAAAATAATTTTATTGAAATAAGTTTGCTCTGTTCCAAAATATTCTAGTTTTGCATTTTTTTTCGATATCATAAGGGAAAAATCGAATATCGTAGGAACATATTTACATTCTTGTAATTTATGGAATAGGGCATTCATTTAGATTGGCAATCTACTAGACTTTACGTTAAATAATAGATTTAACGTTAATAATATTCGTTTTTATATAAATAATGTGCTTTATGAAAACATGTTCGGTGCAAATAAAGCTGACAGTGTTTAAAAATAAAGCGATTTTGCAATGTCGTCGAAAAGATTGAACTTTCATTGAAATACCACCATTTGGCGCCGTTCTTACAAATAATATTTGATAGGAGATCTACTCTCAAATGTCGCGAACATTACATTAACCCTTAATTTGTTCAATAAATTACTCCACATATACTCCCCCATCCCCCACAATTTTAAAAAAGAATTATTGAACATTATTTCATTTGCTTCATTCAAACATTGCTACTGCAAACCAGGCAGCAAACTCCTCGAAAAAAAAAAAAAGAAGAATCTCAAATAGAAAAAATTATAAAATCATCGCCTCGTTGATGTTTGCCTGAGCTTTTTTTGCTGCTCTGATAGAGTTGTTGGTGTATCATGTTCATGCTTCTTTCATAGTCTTCTGTCAGCGTTTGCAACATCAAACATTTTAGTGCTAAAAACCATAACTGAAAGGCAGGCAACCCCGACCTATTACCCCATCTGTCTTCTCCACTTTATACTAAAAACATTGCTGCCAAGTCAAACAACACCATCAGCCAGCCAGCCCCTGTTCTCGTCCATTCTTCGTTGTCAAAAACAGCCAGCAGCAGCCGCTGCAGAAGATGAGCAATCATCCAACAACGTCGGCGATGGTTTTCGTCGTAGTGAGTAGTGGTGGTGGTGTTGGTGGTTGCCCTTCACAAATATGCTTGTAATATGGATGGCTGAATATGTCTGTCGGGGTCTGTGGAAAAAAATTTCTTTGCTTCAATTTTTTCTCATTTCATGCCGGCACACTGAAATGCAAGAATTAAAATCCAACAATCAACAACAAAGACTTCAGCAAAATATCCATCCAATACCCAACAAACAACCAAACATACAGATATTCAAGACACACACACAGCCGGACACACACCATCAAACATACAAAGTTCTCATGCACAGCACATTCTCTCAGATATATTATTTTTTGCTATAATACAAGAAAAACACAAAGAGGCAGCCGTGCGGCAGGCAGGCAACACCGCACACAACACACAATCATCTACCAACAATCCAAAGTTGGTGTTTTGTCGTCAACTGTACCCACTACAAAAATTGTGGATGAAAATGATGATGATGACGACGACGGCGGCGGCGGCAAAACAAAAACAGCAACAACCATACAAAACGTTCCCTGAAGTTTGCTACTCTGTCTGCATGCTTGTTTGCTTTGTTGTTATACGGCGTTATTCCTTTTCCTCGTCCACCACCATCAACACCATTTCGGAGTGGTGGCTACTCACCATCAATGAACAAAGAGCCATGTCTGGTTGAATGGTGGTGGTGGTTGTATTTACAATTTCACCACCATCAATTCATTCATACAGATAACAGTGGTAGAGAGCCAACTTAACAGTGCTCTTTAACAAAATGTCTACATGGTGAGAATGAGAAGAGTAATAACATTGTGTTGGCATTTAGCTGTTGCGTAGAGTTGTGAATGGGAATGGTGTATTCGCTTAACCGTTAGTAATGCTATCCTCCGCCAGAGGGTCTATGTGGTAGATGTATTCAGATCGAATTGTACTTGTAATACGCGACACCAGATGGCGTTGCATATATTCCAATAAGAAATTTCTTTAGAAATTAATTGATAATCGTTTCTTATCGATAAAAGACAACCTTTGCTGAATTCTAGGAAAAAATAAAAAGCATTGCTCTGTTCCAGAACCTGCAAGAATGTTACAACGATAACCGATTTTTCTTTTATGAATTCGTACTGAATCCAACCTCATACTAGTCGATGATTTATTTTCTTTATATCGAATTTCTCATAAGATAGTCATTTCAGCAACCTTTTGGGAACACTTTTTTTGGGAACACATTTACATTTTGTAAAAAATAAAAAAAAATGTGCCACAATTTTTGAAATTTTCATAACACTGTGCAACAAAAAAACTATAACTACAGAGAAAATCGAGCAGCTTATGAGATTAGAGTTGAAAATAGGAGACACGTGTATCGGCGTTTTTAAAGTACTGGGCAAGTTCCCTCCGCTTGTTCCACATCTTTTGAAATGTTCGGATTAAGATTTCTTGGAATCCATCAATAGTCTTAGAACTCGTTTATGTATTACTGATATGTTTCCTTTTTCAAAATAACACAATTTTAATTTTCTCTCTTTTCTTTCTTTTTTCCAGGACTCTTCGGGACCCACATTGGATTTCTTTATATCGGATTCCCTGCACGATATGCTAGATGTCGATATACGCAGTGAAGTGGCGAATGTTGTGGGCAGTGTCACCGACTATGAGACCTGTCTGGCCGAATTACCCTTGGCCTTTGATCATAGCACCGATTTGCTAAACACCAATGGCTCAAATGGTGGCAACCTCCCGCCACACAAAGAACCCACCAGTGTCCTATCATCGTGGAATTCCAATTTTGGCATGGGCTCCTCGAATTCCTCATCATCCTGGCTGGGGGCTGGCAATGATTTTCTAGCCGATGTGGGTGCATGTGTTAATCCCATTTCGGTAATGCCTTTGATTTCATCATCACTTTTGCACATGTCACCAAAGACCAACTTGAATGCGAATAGTTTGAGAAGTAGTTCACCGCCACCGCCGTCACCGAATGTCAACGATACCAAATCGCATTTGACCTTTTCACCGGCCCACATTAAGATCAGTGCCAATTCCATACGCAATGAACAGCTGACTGCCCACATACCAAAACAACAGATTATCGCAATTTCATCGTCGGCAACCACGGCCACCACTGCTCCAGCCACCATGGCAACAAATTCGCCATTGCAGAGGAAAAATGCTGCCGCCGTGGAGGCAATAAAAAAGGATTTGGGTACAGAGTTGCGTAAAGTTGTACCGTTGTCCTCAACGAATGAAACGCTGGTCTTCAAGGCAAATGCGGTGGCTATTAGTAGAGAAAACAGCAGCGGATCATCTACCTCAGGCGGCTATGGCAGTGGTGGTCGTAATTCACCGGCCACCGGTCATCAACAAATATTAACAGCCACCAGCAGCAGTTCTACAACCTCCACATCATCATCATCAGCTACTTCCTCGAGCACAATAAAATTGGGCCCCGGTATTGGGGGCCTGACTTTTGCCAACAACATTACCACTTACAATAAGTTGAAACAAAATTCCAGCAACAACACCAGTGGCGTTGCCAACACAACAGGGACGACAAAACTAAATCATCAGGGTACAACAACGATCACTGCCAATGGTTCATCGTTAGTTTTGAAACGAGAACGTGAATCTAGTCCTTTGCAAACTATGAACGCTGTCAACAGCAATGGCAACAACAGTAGTGGGCAAAATCTCAGCAAAATTATAGCACGACAAAGCGCAAGTTTTACAGCCAAGTCAATAGCCCATTCCAATTATCTGCAGCAGCAGCAACAACAACAGCAAAATAACAATAACAACTCCAGCTATTCCTCCAGCAACACAACCACCATTAATGGTGTTAGCTATAATTCCAGCAATTCCTCAGCATCAAGTCACAGTCCCTCGCCCTCCTCAAGTAATGGCTCAAGTCCGAACATTAATGCCGTCAAACCGTTACAGCAAAAAGTCAAAGCACCTCCCGTTGAATCGGAATTTCCCAAACCTGCATACTCATATTCTTGCCTCATTGCCATGGCTTTGAAAAATTCCCGCAGTGGGTCCCTGCCGGTCTCTGAAATCTATAGCTTCATGTGTGAACACTTCCCCTATTTTAAAACCGCACCCAGTGGTTGGAAGAACAGTGTACGGCACAATTTGTCGTTGAATAAATGTTTTGAAAAAATCGAAAAACCCCCCACCAATGGTAATCAACGTAAAGGCTGTCTCTGGGCCATGAACCCAGAGCGTATTACCAAAATGGATGAAGAAGTCCAGAAATGGTCGAAAAAAGATCCCATGGCCATACGTAATGCCATGGTTTATCCGGAACATTTGGAGGCTTTGGAACGTGGAGAAATGAAACATGGCAGCAGTGGTGATTCGGATGCCGAAATGGATAGTCAATCGGAAATTGAAGAGGCCTCCGATTTGGAGGAACAGGAATTGGATGAAACTTTGGTTGACAATATGCTAGTGGAAGAGGAGCTCGATGAGGAGATGATGCATGCTGTGACGATAAAAACCGAGGATCTTCATCATATGTCGGACAACGAAGATGATGGAGTTGATGGAGGTGGTGGTGGCGGTAGTAACAATGGTGATATTATCATCAACCGTTTGGGTAGCATTCACCACCAGCGGCGAGCAACATTATCCTCACCCATCACCCTGTCAACAAAGACGGTAAATGGTGGCATAAATTCATTGTCGGATAGTTTACAACGCGATTTTGACATTGAGGTAAGTTGGTTTGGAATGTTTTTCTTTTTTTGTGGACGGTACCTCCCAAAATTCGGTATTTTGATGATTTTAGCCTCATTATTCTCGGAAGTAGTTTCAAATTTCGTATTTTGGGTTCCTAATGGGAACTTCAGTCTGTGGCAGAAAATTTTCTAGGTCAGGTCTAGGTCTTCGTATAGGCCCCATATATCAGTACCTCCCTATTTTCGGTATTTTGACGATTTTAGGTACAATACTCACCGAAACTGTTTAAGATGTCGTGTTTGAAGTTCGTAATGGATGCTACATCATGTGACAGAAAATTGTCTATGCTGGTCCAGATCTTTGTATAACTTCGATATAACGGTACCTCCCTATATACGGTATTTTGATGATTTTAGCTACTTTATTAACCGTTTATTTCAAGTTTCGGTATTTTTAAGATTGTAACCGAATTTTTAAAGGCTTTTATTTTTTAAAAAATTTCCCAATTCGTTCCAAATTGTGGAGGGTATTCCAAGTTCGAACCGGCCGAACTTACTGCTTTTTAACTTGTTTTGTTGTTGTTATGTTCCAATTCGTTCCAAATTGTGGAGGTTATTCCAAGTTCGAACCGGCCGAACTTACTGCTTTTTAACTTGTTTTTTGATGAATTGATATATTTTTTGAATGCATGTCTAAAATGTAATTTCTCTTTCTCTTCCCAGGTTGAAGACATCTACGATGCCATCGATATTGATGACGACAAGGAGGCTGTGCGCATGGCCATTAACCAATCGGATATTATTGAATTGAGTCCGGCCGATTATAATATTACCACCGTGAGCTGTAATGAGAATCATCAATCGCCAAAGAGGGCACGGTTAAATATCAATTATTCCATTGGGCCGGCGGGTGAAATTGAAAAGCAGATACAAAATCAACAGCAGCATCATCACCAGCAACGTCACATACAAATGCAAAATATTAAGAAGATTGTAAAAGTTCAAAATATTCAGGATTTACAGCATATCCAACAACAGCTCCAACAACAACAAATTGTCGTGCAAACCATATCCAGTAATGGTGGTCTACAGCAACAGCATGCCACAGCGGGCCAGTTTACACAGATTGGTACAATTTCATCGGCATTAGGTGAGGTGGCAAATCAAAATCGTCGCAAAATGCAGTTGGTCAATCGGATTGCTTAAATGAATGATGATAACTAATACTGGGCAAAAATTAAGAAAAAAACCAACAAGGAACAAATTGGAATTCCAATGGTTGTTCGTTTTTATTTTTGTTTGTCGTCATCATCGTTGTCTAGCGCTCAAAGGGAGTTACCAAAAAAGAAGAAGAACAAATTTTTTGTTGGCCGCGCCAGTAGGGAAAAGAGAGAATTGCTCTTGGCGGTCGGTTGAACAACAACACAAATTCCTATGAGGCATTTTAAGAAAATTTTTTTTCTTTTGATTTTGCAATGTTCAAGGAGTTTGTTTTGCAAATTAAGCAATTTGTAGTAAATCTAATTGCCCTTCCTCCTTCTCCCTTTAATAACATCCAACCACCCGCCCGATTTTTTCATAATTATCTATTTAAAAAAAAAGAAGAAGAAAAACAAAACTATTTACTATAATTTTTATTGCTACCGTAATACGCTTAAGTAGCTTTTAAGTAATCTCTTAATGGATAGGATTTTTTTTAATTTATTCTTATGTTTTTTTATTTTTTGATTTTACCCTTATGAGTTTTAATTATTGATTTTACGTTCTATATATTGCTATAAGTTTTACCTTTTATGATACAAAACATACCACATACCGTCATACCCATAGAAATCCTAAAAAATATTGTGCTCAATTTTTGTGAATTTTCAATTTAGTTTTTTTCCTTTCTTCGATTTTGTTCTCAAAAAAAGTGATGCAAATAGGTGTTATTATCTTGCCAGTAATATTTAGGATCAAGTTTGAAAGGGTCATGAGGCTTTCGGAAGTCAATGGGAATCGTTAGGATTCAAAGAAGTTGGATCCAATGCGATGGTATTCTAGACCTTTTACTTATTATGGACTGCTCAAGTTTCCCCTTTCCCCTTTTGCGTGCAATTCAATGGGAATCTAAGGATCTGAACCAGGATCTTTAATATTAGGATCCTCAATTGCATTACTATCAATGTTTATGCAGTGTTTGGTGATTGCAAGGCATAAATAAGATCCATTAAATAATTCCCATCTCCTTTCTGGGTTTGCTTTTGTACGAACCAAATTCAAAGACATAGAAGTATAAAAATGGGACAGAACAGAGTCAAAATATTGTAACCAAGTGTAAATACCTCTGTTGTTATGGTATCGTAACAACATAGTTATCAATGTGAAGTGATTTAAACCGCTAAGGCAATATGTCATTAATTGGGAAAGTCTATGGAATTAAATTTCGAAAAAAAAATGTTATTTTTTCAAACTTTTATTTGTCTTTTCTATAATTGTCTGTTTTATATTAACATGCTTCGGTCATTAGCTGTTACTCTAGATATTATAGACACAAACCATTTGCTCAGAATGCATTTTGTCTAGACTTTACCATTTTTGGTCTTGTGCTGTAATAAAACATTGTATTTTTTACAATAAAGCAGAAATGAAAAAAACATTTTTTGGGGTATTTAAGAGTACCCACTTCTTTGCCAAAGGCTTGAATTCCATCGGAATTTACTATTTTGGATTCTCGAGCTCTACCATAAATTTTAACACGACCCCTTGTTTCTAATATTTTTCTATCTCTAATTTGCTTGTTTGCATCGCTACATTTTTTTGAGACTTGTTTTTTTTTCGTTACCTTCAATTTCATTTTCCTTCACATGAGCTGAATAATATTTTTATTTAGTTTTTTTTTTTTTTATGAAGTAATACTACTAATTGTATATTGAGAATATATATTCCAAAAAAAAAATTAAGATTTCTTCTATTAGATGGATGCATATCAACAAAAATTCTGCAGATGGCTGGGCCAATGGAATGATATCAGGGGATGCTGTTTTCACACATCCCAGCTAAATTTTTAATTAGTTATTAGTAATATACCATCCGGAGATGTTCTCACACATCCCAGCTAAGTTGTTAATTACTAATAACTAAACATAATTTTTTGTAATAATATTTTGTTTTTGTTATCAACATTGGCCCCTGTCACTGCCCAAAGTTTTGTAATTCCAAGTTAAATCATATTTGGCAGTAATATGAATTTATTCGCTACCATTATTTTAAGTTTTTTTTATCTTATTTTCTATTGAAAAGAAAGGTATTTTTCGTATTACCTTAAATTTAATATTTTAAACTATAAAAACGGAATTTTTCAATTCCCCCTAGAATATATGTTATGCCCACATCCTCTAGCTACTTGAAAAAGCCACACAAAAGAAATCCTTTCATGTGTATTTGTAATTTCCTATATCTAAACAGAGAGAGAGAGTTTAAATTTTATTCCCCAAACTCTCTCTTTTTTTAAATTAGTTTTAAAAACAAAAAAAAAATTATCGAATATTATTATAAAACCATCAAAAAATCCTAAAAAAATGTAAATGTACAGTTCAAAAGAAAGAAAAAATTACAAGAAATTTTGTTTCATTTTTTCCAAATTATCTTTATTTTTCGTTTGACAATTTTTCAAACTTTTGCAACAAAAGTCCAAAAAAACAAAAAAGAACAAATTTTTTATACACCCCAGCTATATGACACAAAATAATAATGAATTGATCTCACAGTATATACATACATACATAATATATATAATGTTATATAAAAATCCCATAACTAAATGACCAACAAAAATTATTTTTTTATTTTTTTAACTCAGCATAAAGAAAATATGCTTTTTTGTTTGTTTTTTTTTAAAAACTCTTGACAAATTCCTAATTGAAAAAATGGAAACTAAATTGTTATTGTATTTTTTTGACAATATATTACAAAAACAAAAACCTTTTCGTTTTAGTTATATTTACAAACATTTTCGTTTTTTTTTTTTTTTACAAATATATAACCTTTATCATGACATTCCTATATAAAAAATAATCATTCTTATTGACGCAAATAACACTGTGCTAAAAAATGTTTTTAATAGTAATCCTAAAATGAACTTATTTTGAGGAGGAGATTCTCAGAATACCGTAAAAAGTGAGGTTAAGAAAAAAAGATTTAAGGGGGGGAACTTAGGGAAAGGAGCCAAACTGGCAAAAAATTAGACTTTCAATAGGACATAGGACATGTATATTCAAAGTTTCATACAATGTTGTCCCGCTGAATAAATACTTCCAAATCGGTCTTGTTTTTTTTTATAACATACACCATAAGTTGGTCAGGGTATTATGTCTTTGCAAATTGAAACGAGATAGCCTATAGTTACTTTTGATGATCTGATGAATTTGATCTGAATTTGATGATGATAGAATCCGATTCTGAGTCGATTCATGTACGTTCGTCCGTCTTTCTGTCCATGTATTTTTGTAAACATGAAATTTTGCACAAATCATTCGTTTGGAGATAATTGGTCAAAATTTAGATATAGCTCCAATATATACCTTCGTCCGATTTGTCTTTTTTGTGCACCCAACGTGTAATATCAGCCCAAATAGTATGGAATATTGCACATACGACCAAAATAGGCCTGAAAATAAGTTTGCTCAATTTGATCGAAATCGGTTCACATATAGCTATAGCTCCCATATATATTGTTCATCTGATTTATTATATTTGTTCTCCACAGCCGTAATATGCACTTCGTTACGACGATATTCAGGGAAATATATCAAATACAGCTCAAAAATATCTTTGCCCATTTTAACGAGATTGGTGCAGATTTGGATATAGCTCCCATATATATCTTCATCCGATTTCACGATAATTGTGCACCAAATGGGCGATATAAGCCCGTATTAAAAAGATACAAATGCTTCGGCATATTTAGTCCCTTGAACTTTAAATTATAATTATAATCATAGCTTGAATGAGTTAATTCTCCCATAAAAACTTGATTGTTACTACTCTACTCTACTAAATAAGCAAAGTGGTGTAGGGTATCATAAAGTCGGCCCGCCCGACTTTAAGTCTTTCTTTACTGGTTTCACTCTTTCGCCAATTTACCTTCCAATATATTTATATCCAATATATTTGTTTTGACATAACCTCATATTTTGATTGAAAAACCTCTTCAAAATACTACAATTTTTGCAAAGGATTATGGCACAGTGTCATTAAGAAAAGAAGAAATAAACTATGGTGTCCCTTTAACATCTATAGTAAATCTTTCACAGTATTCATTTGAAAAAAATCCATACATACCATTTACTGTATTCACTCACTACCAACAAACCATTTAAACTACTTTAACTACATAACCTTAAAAAACAACTTAGAAATGTAATTTTGATTTTCTCTTTATGATTTCATGTATAATCAAGAGAAATAAACAAAACATCCCCATCATATTTTTACCAAGCAACAACAACAACCAGCAGCATCAAGAAACCCAGTCAATTTTTTGTACATTTTCCTAGATTTAGTTTTAAGCAGACGTAAATAAAAAGAGATATATACATATGTTTGTTGTTGTTGTTGGTATATTGCATTATAATTAATCCGTTTTGTGTATATTTTTTTTTTTGATTTCACATTTCTTACCTAACAACCCCCTTCACCCTTCATCCGTTCCAAATGTTCTAACTATTACCAGATTCAATTCAGAAAACTAAAAAAAAAACAATAAAAAACACATTTCTTTGAGCAACATGCATTGAAGTACAAAAAAATATTTTTTTTTTACAAAAAATAGTAAGAAGAAGCAAAAAATACTACAAAAACAAACAATACGAGTAAAAAAACAACATTTTATAAAGATATTTTTAAATGTAAAATAGTATTTAAAATAAAATTTAAATTACATATAAATATATATACAAACACAAAACAAATACATATATATACATATACATATAAAGTACATTTATCCTATTTTTCTATGTACATATAGCGTAAAAAACAAAACAGAAAAGAAAAACAAAACAAAGTAAAATTTAATAAAAAAAATGTAAAAAGTTACAAGAAATTGGTGTTTCTTTTAAGGGGTTTTGTAAAAAAATCCAAATTGTGGGTGGATTTTTTAAGCTCGATCAGATTAACCTGCTGCGCTTTCAGTTATCCAAAGATAAACTGGGAAGATCCACGCAATCGAAAAGGATCTGGATATGGGCATTATTAAAGAATATTTCTGTACTGTTCCAATTCTTCAAAATGACAAGAGTTTCGAATTTCGGTAATCCCAATATAGAACATCGTTACCCCATTGTAGCAAGAGTGTAACTGGCAATTGAAAAACAGTTCTTTGTCGCCCCTTGCTACTCGACTATAAAATGTTATTTAAGCAACATTTGGAACACAATACCAAGGTTATTCAGCATTAACCTTGACACACACTTTTTTGGGCAGCAAAGAACCAAGGTGAGTAAGATTTAAACATGAGAAATACTAACATTCATCCTTACTACAAATTCTGTTGCATTTTCAGGCTCATTATTTGGCATTTTCATCCATCTTGATAAGAAGTCTGTTGTTGTATACCATTTAACATATCCAAATAAATAATGTGAGCAATAAATCGGAAAGACAAATATTCCAACATACCAAAAAGGACTTTCAGCGCAAATTGCATCAATTTTGTTCTACGGTGTTATTCCTACTCCACATTTTGCTAAACTAAACAATATGGTCTATAGAGCGCACAACAGACCTATAGGGGCTTACGTGTATGCCCAATAGGGCATGCGGCGAATTGCTTCGCCCCTCTTTTCAACCTTATACCTTTTATACTTTTTTTCGAAAAATGTAATGTTTAATTCACAGTCCGGTATCAGCCCCCAATAAAATTATCAATAATTAGCCAGAATATTTTCAATTTATTTGTTTACTGCTGCAAATAATACAATTTTCAAAATGGAAACTTATGCCTTCCAGTGAGCCCAGGTCTTGATTTCATTCCACAAGTGGGTGCCGGGACAATCGGTGGATCCGACTTGACGATGACCGTACAAAACATAGCCGGACACAATTTGGCCACGAGAAACAGCAGCGGCCAATAGATTTTTGGCAGCATTGATTTGGGCTGCACTGGGTTTGTAATTGTGATAGTTACCAATGAAGGAGATGCCAAGTGACTTGGAGTTCCAGTTAACAGCGTGGGCACCCACAACATTCCAGCCACGACCCTCATAGATGTTGCCATCACCACCAATCAAAAAGTTGTAGCCAATATCAGGCCATCCCAAAGTTTTTTGGTGGTAGTGTTGAACATTTCTCATTTGTTGGCTGCATGAAGCCCTGTCCGAGCAAGCGGCACCCTCGGTATGATGGATGACAGCATATTGCAAGTTATTGGACAAGGTTGTTTTACTGGTGGCGGGAGCACCACCCCATTCCGCTTTGGAGATAATAGTGATACCGAACACGGCTTGGGCACAGAAAAGAACGGCCAGAAGACCGAATAAAGATTTGGAGACCATTGCTAGGCTTGTCGATTCAAATGAACTGATGGATATGTCATCGTTTCGCAGTGTTTATATAGGAACTCGAAAGGGTAAACATGATAAGAATGTGGCTGAAACATGGCGGCAATATCAGCCTAAAATATCACATAATATATGGCACTGATCTTTATCTCCGATGCCTTTTTATAAATATTGTTTAATGAATCTATCTCTTCATCGAAGTCGAGCGACAAATTGAACTTGGAAAAGAAATAAGCAAAAATTTTCAGGTGTTCTGTGTTTAGAAATACAAAAAGTCATATTGAGTTTTATATGGAACCTTAAAAAAATCGAAAAGTTTTGGAAAATTTCCACAGATTAAAAAATCAAAAATAAAAAAAAAACTAAAGTCGGACGAGACCACAGGCCATGTGATCTACACAACTTTGAAATTATTTTAGTGATAAACTCTAACCATATATTCTCGAGAAAATTATAAAAGCAAACATGGGGACACATGTACTTTCCCATGCCCGACGTTTCTAACCGCAAATGCACGTCAAGAGAATTTGCTTGGGCTTAGAGATCAGAAATGATCATTTCATACTTAAGATGAATTTAAAGGAATTCACCATGCCCTGAACTTTAGCCACTTTGTCGTGTATATTGTAAGTACCTATAATGCTAAAATTAATTCAATGTAACCTCATTTCAAATAACAATATCCAGCTTTGCATATTCTGCGATTTACCATGCCAAATTCAACTTCTTTGAGAAAAGGTTACTATGTCTGATTGTATACATGTTGTGTATATACATCGGATTTATGAATATGCGCACATATATTTGCTCCTTTCCAGATCCTGGAAGAATCTACTAGTTTTGCAAATTTTCTTCGATATCATAAAGGGAAAATTTGTTATCATTTTGTTTACAGATTTTTGACTATTGTTTATCTTTTGTTCCGTGAATCCAAACACATGGTTCATTTCCAACGATGCAACAATGGCTTGGCACCCATGGAAAATGTATGGAGAAGGCCTATATTTCTTCTTTTGGTGCCACGCATGGCACAATTACAGAAGGTAGAACAAAGCTACCCTCTAAAAACAATTTTTTTTATTTTAAAATATTTCAAATTTGTTTTCAAAATAAATGAATATTTTCTCTGTTAATGGGCAACACATTGTACAATTTGGGATAAAATTGTATTGTCCTACTATCTTGTGGAATAACCCCAAAATTCCAATCTTGTTTCGCGGATTTTCTTTCCCCAATATAAGAATTTTGTCAAAAAAATGAAAAATAAACAAAACCTACTGTTGCACATTTAAAAGTCTATTTGACACTATAAGACTTCAGCACAGAGTTGCATTTTTCTAGTTTCTTTGAAGTTGACAACCTTTCTTATTGAGTCATGATACGATCCCAATATAAAATGTTTAAGGAGATTAAAGACAAAAAGGGGCGTAACATATACAAGTCCATAAGAGTCATTACGTCATTTACAAACGTAAACAAATAGTTATTCTTATCTGCAAATTTCGTAAAGATAAGAACATGTTACCTTTTTCCAATCACAGCTGATAGGCATAGACTTAAAATGAATCACAACTGGGGCGTGGCTATAAGATTGTAGATCTTATCGTCCAGTTACGATAAGTATTTGCTAAAACAAAATTGAGGAAGGTCTCTGGAAAACTATGATTTTATATTTTTTTTATAGATAGCTATTATATGCCAAGGCTTTTTTTGACCCTCCGCTTTTGTATTGATGTTATACAATAAAGTTTGATGTTTTTATTTAAACCAATCTGGAGCTATTTCATATACGATCAGACTTAAGATGAGAATACATAAAAAGCTTTTTTGAATGGCTTAAGGGTGGAAATACATAGAGCGCATATTTGGTTGACTTAAGTCATCAGCTGGCTTCTTCGTAGATGAACAAATGAGTTTTAGGTTGACTTAGTTCGATTTTGGTCCCAGGCTCCTTTGTGTAATTCCGAACGAGCCAGCCGATGACCTTAAGTCATCGGCTGGCATCTTCGGAAAATAACAAAGGAGCGAAGGGACGAAATCGAACTAAGGCAACCTAAAACTACCAAAGCCAGTCAGTAGTGCGATTCTCTAACTCATTTTTCGAGTAACCGACAAAAATCGTTAAAATTAAAATGCTTATAATTTCGATAATTAGCGATATTTTTCGATAAGTTAGTGATGAAATTAAAGTAGTCGCTAAGGCCTACCGATAGATACCAATGTTGTCAACTTTTATTTCCTTTTTATATCAAAATTTTGCGTTTGAAAGTTACCAATGAGTTAGAGAATCGTACTACAGATAAGCCTCTTATGTACTCTCATCTTTACTTAGTAAAAAGCGGTACAAAAAGACGCCATATTTATGTGAGTTCTTTTCATTTCGCCTGTAAGTTTAATTGTTTTTTATGTACGGACCCGGTTTTCTAGTAAAAAATTGTAAACATAGCACATTTTTTACGTGGGAAACTAAAATTCTATAACATAAAAAACTTTTGAAGACATTTGATCTGATCCAGGAATGTAAGAATATATAAATGAGCACTTCGATAACCGATTTTTCCTTTATGATACCAAAAAAAAAAGCAAGATTAGTAGATTCTTGCAGGTTGTGGAACAGACCAATTTTGTTAATTATGTTAAAACATATGCTCTGTTCCAGAACCTGCAAGAATATATGAATTTTTTTGATAGCATAAATGAAAAATCGGTTATCGCAGTAAAGAAATGTATATCTTTCAATTTCTGGAATAGACCAATAGTCCTAGTAATATTTCCTTTAATCTGAAGCATTTGCTCTCTTGCATACCCTGCAAGAATCTACTAGATTTGTATTTTTTCCGATATGAAGGAAAATCGGTTATACGTTTTACATTCTTGCATTTCTGGTACAGATCATTTATAAACTGAGACTGTTTTGAATATATATTTTAAATACAGCCCGATCATTGCATTTATCCTCAGGTCTTAAATAAATTGATCAAGAACTAGTCAGATTATTATTTTCAACTCATTTATTTTTTACTGCAAGTATTACAATTCAAAAAAGTCCAATCTCAAGCCTTCCAGTGAGCCCAGGTCTTGATTTCATTCCACAAGTGAGTGCCGGGACAATCGGTGGCTCCGACTTGACGATGGCCGTACAAAACATAGCCGGACACGATATGACCACGAGAAACAGCAGCAGCCAACAGATTTTTGGCAGCATTGATTTGGGCAGCACTGGGTTTGTAATTGTGATAGTTGCCAATGAAGGAGATGCCAAGTGACTTGGAATTCCAGTTAGAAGCGTGAGCACCCACAACATTCCAGCCACGACCCTCATAGATGTTGCCATCACCACCAATCAAGAAGTTGTAACCAATATCAGGCCATCCCAAAGTGTTGAACATTTCTCATTTGTTGGCTGCAGGAAGCCTTGTCGGAACAAGCGGCACCCTCTGTATGATGGATGACGGCATATTGCAAGCCATTGGACAAGGTTGTTTTACTGGTGGCAGGAGCACCACCCCATTCCGCTTTCGAGATAATAGTGATGCCAAAAACGGCTTGGGCACAGAAGAGAACGGCCAAGAGACCGAATAAAGTTTTGGAAACCATTGTTATGATTGTCGAACTGCTGGTTGTCGCCGTTTCGCCTCGTTTATATAGGAAAACTCGACGAGGTAAAAGTGATAACATTATCACTACATTTGCAATATCAGCAAAAAATATCACACAATATATGGCACACTCTCGGTTGGATCTTTATCTCTGGTTACCTATTTATAAACAAAAAACATAATTTAATGAATTTATCTCTTAATTGGATCCGAGTGAAAATTTAACTGTTAACAGTGGGTAGTTTTAAAACATTTCTATTCCAGACTTTCTATAATATTAAAGTTTTGATTACGATAGCCGATTTTCCCTTTATGATATCGAAAAATTGCGAAACTAGTAGATTTTTGCATGTTCTGGAACATAGCAAATGTTTACCATGGTAGAATTAAGAATATAGTCAGGTAATCATATGTTTGCAATTTTTTCAAAAGTATTCGTTTGACAACATCTCATTGTCAAAATTTATATTTTCATATTCATTGTATAAACACACATCAGGGATGGGAACCTTTTTTTATGTAGTGAAATTTGACAAGGTAAATTATAAAAAATGAAGATATGAATATGATTAATTCAAATGACTTTACCTTCTTAATTTTACCATGATGTTTACCTTTTCCAAAATATTCTATGGAGATCCAAGAATATAAATCCTAGCCTATTTTTGTAAAGTACTATAGATTTAAAATGACTGTACAATGGTTTGGAAACAATAACCGATTTTCCCTTTTTGATATAAAAAAATGCAAGACGAATAGATTCTTGCAGGTTCTGGAACAAATCACAAGTTTGCAATAATATCCAGCATCTATAATCCCTAAATTTATAAATACTCTACCTCTAATATAAGGGGTAGGATTATATTAGAGGTAGGATTATAGATGTTGGATATTATTGCAAACTTATTATCTGTTCCAGAACCTTAAGGGCGCAAGTACATAAGAAGCTTGAAGTCATGGCCTGGCATATTTTGTGAAATTTCATAAAGGAATTACAGAGCCGCACAAAAAATCCTGCCGTCGCTTTCCTTTATAATTTGACAATAATATGCCTAGCTTCAAGCTTTTCATGTACTTGCTCCTTAAGTCTTAAGTCATCAGCTGGCTTCTTCGGAAAAGAACCAAGGAGGGCCAAAATCGAACTAAGTCAACCTAAAATTCCTTTGTTCCTCTACAAAGAAGCCCCTCAAAAAAAGCCTTTTATGTATTCTCTCCTTTAGAAATACAGATAGAAACAATGTTGTCAACTTTCTACACAATTTTCACCTGGAAATTTTGCGATTAAAAATTACCGATTTTTTGTCGGTAACTGCAGAAATACATGATTCGACTACTGGTAAAGTCCTTCGTCGGGAATCATATGTTTTCTGGACAGACTAGGAACATAACGGAAACAAAAATCGATTTTCGATTTTAAAATATCCGAATTTTTCTTTTGGTTGTGTATGTATACGTAAACAAACATCAGATGAAAACACCAGATTAACCCACTTGATCTAATAAACCCAGCGAGTCAATTTTTAATAGTATAAACGTGTTATAAAACTTGCCGATATAACAATGATGTCAACTTTTAAGTTGAGAATACATAAAACGCTTTTTTGACTAATTTAAGTCATCGACTGGCTTCTTCGTAAATGAACAAGGGAGTTTTAGCTTGCCTTAGTTCATTTTGTACTTGTTCATCCTACGCTCCTTCATTCCTTTACTAAGCCAGTCGATGACTTAAGCCAGTCAAAAAAAAAAAGCATTTTATGTATTCTCACCTTTTGTTATTTTTTATATGAAAACAAACGATTTAGTCACTTGTCGGTCACAAACTCTTAAGTTGAAGATAAGTGCAACAGTACTTTATGCGAACAAAAATTGTTGTTTATTAATATAAAATTTAAAAGAATCAAACTCAACCACAATCCAAACAATGGCGAACGGTCTAGAAAAGGCTTGGCACAAAAAATAACGGTCAACATCTAAGCACAATTACCATAAATTAAATCCAACTTCTCAAGAGACCTTCCTCAATATAATTTTGCAATTGCTTATCATGACCGGACGATAAGATCTACATGAATTATGGCCCCGCCCAACATTGATTTATTTCATGCATATGGTTAAATTGGGACTAATTGTGAAAAAAGGCAACGGGTCTGAATACCAGAACCCACTTATTCTTATCTTTACGAATTAAAAAATACAAAAAACTATTTGTTTACTTTCGTTTATTGAAAATGGCTGTATCTTTTAAGAAATTTGAAGATGGTAGAGTATTTAATTGTTGGTTCTGCCACAGGAATCATTTATGTCTCCGGACTTTCGGTGGTGTTTATATTTGCAGTTGTTAATCTTATAACGTGTTTACATAAAAAATCCAAGTTACGTTTCCCATAGTCAAACTTAAAGTAGATTTAAAAAATCCACTCAATCTCAAATGTCAATTCCGTAGTGTATACGTCAAATAATTTTGGAATTGAAAATGTTGAAAGAAAAATTATTTAAATTTGTAAAAATTGTTTAAAAACGCGGGTTATAATAACCTCCGTATGACGTCTATAAGAAAACATATAAAAATCTATTTATATTTGAAAATACATTTATGCCGCGTCTAAACGTACTTTCATTTGTGGTATATTTACATTAGAGTCTTTTATCGGGTTATCATATTTTATTTGAAAAATTTTGATACACTGGATTAACTCAATCCGGTAAACTGTAAACGTACTATTACGCTCAGTTAAACTTTCATTGAAAATACTTTGATTTACATTCTTTTTTTTATTTCACAAAACATCGACACACACATACTTATTATTAATTATAACATACAGACACGAACCTAACTACATCTGTATAAAATGAATATTTACTATATGATTTTTTCAAATATACAATTATGTAAATCTATAGTGGTATTCATTCAATTAATGGACGGCTTAATACTATTTACTTTGGCATAATTTAATTTTTAACATATACAAATCGATTGTAACTACTAATACTAATATTTGGCATACAATTCTTATCAATATCCTTTCAACATAAAACTGAAAGCATGCCGAGATAATTAAGGTTGGGAATAAATAAAACGCTTATTTGGCTGTCTTAAGTCATCGGCTGGCTTCTTCGGAAAAGAACAAAGGAGCACAGGGCCAAAATCGAACTAAGTCAACCTAAAACTCCTTTGTTTCTCTACGGAGAAGCCAGCCGATGAATTAAGCCAGTCAGAAAAGCTTTTTATGTACTCTCCCCTTAAGGGCTAAACAGAATGCACGCGTTGAGGTATTTTTCGCGTTAAAAATTATAGATAAAATGACAACCACAGGCGAGTTCAGTGTCAATAAACCCGTTTCATTGTAGTTGATGTTTTATCGATAATATTTAAGGCGTAAAATTACTCTATGTGCTCATTCGGCTCTGGCGTTAAGGTGGAAGTACATAAAGAGCTTATTTTGACTGGCATAAGTCATCGGCTGGATTCTTCGCAGAGGAACAATGGGGTTTTAGGTTGACTTAGTTCGATATTGGCCCTGGGCTTCTTTTGTTCTTTTACGAAAAAGCCAGCCGATGACTTCTGCCAGTAAAAAGCTCTTTGTGTACTTCTGCATTTAGGGTTATGCAGTCGAAGTTTATATATTTATCTAAACTTTCGATTTTGTACAATAAGTTAAAAATGAATTTTGACTTTTGAAAACAAGGTCGAAAATCAATTTAAAGGGATGTCAGAGACGCAATCGAATCCTGTCGTCGTTTTTTCTTATAATTTGACTTGCATATACCTATGCCAAGCTGCTTATGTACCGACACCTTTAGGGTGGAAATACATAAAGCGAATATTTGGCTTGCTTCTTCGTAGATGAACAAAGGAGTTTTAGGTTGACTTCGTTCGATTTTGGCTCCTTTGTTCTTTTACGAAAAAGCCTGAAGAAGACTTAAGCCAGCCAGATAAGCGATTCCGCAATTTAAGAAAAACAGCAAAAACTAAAATCACATTAATCGCCTTACACACTGACCTCCAAAAAACACGTTTTACGAAAACATGTTCTGTCTAAATAAGGCTTAACTCATTGCATAGTATTTGGCTCGAATGAAAATTAAAAATGTATGTTCTCAAAATTAATTATAAAAAGTTAACTTTCCTGTATTCACGGAAGGCAAAAGTCAACCTTGTTTTAAATATTTCAAAATCAAAAGCCGATTAATTAAAAGTCGACTTATGTATCCCTACAGGGAACCATCTCTGTCTTAATCTACGTTATATGTATGCCTATTGTTTTCCTATATATATACAAACACATATATTAGAGCTATATACATTTGTGTGAACATAAATAATATAAAATATAAACCTAGCAGAGGTACATATTTCAATTGGTGCATTTAATGAAGGATCACATTCCAAAGAATATCCTTCAGATCGTTATCAACATCATCCCAGGGTACAGGCCAATTTCGATTGCCACACAACTCATTCATGTTTCAAGCGTTTTGCTGTGCCACGTTCCGATGACATTGAATCCGAAGTAATGAACTCCAATTGATAACCAAAATCAAACTCAACATCTTTTTGCTAAAAAATGAGAAAAATATACAATTTTTATTTAAAAAAAATAATTATTTATAACAAGACTTACCTTCAAGTCACATATCACTGCAATGGCTGTCTTCTGATGGGCCTCTGCCACTTTGTGTTCTATCAAATAGAACATATATTCATCGTATAGTAATCGTATCAAATGAAAACTACCAAAACTGGATGCTGATCGCAATGTCAAATCTCTGATTATCATTGAACTGTAAAAACTCCATTTGAGAAGAAATTGCCGTGCAGCTTTGGCATAACTGGGTTTGCCGAAATGTTCTTGCAGCACTGAGTCAACGACAACTTGTAACCATGCTGCCCATTGTTCGAGGGAACATTGTTGCTGTAGTGTTGTCTTGAAATCATTCTCCAGTCGTTGCACTAGTGATGGTTCACATTGACATACCCATGCAGCTTGTTCCTGGAATAAAAATTGTTGAAAAATGTATATTAAAAAAGATGTTAAGATATTAAAGATTTGATATATTTGTGTAAATGATGGGATTTTGGGTAAAACATATATATCAAATGAAGAGTCTACTTTACACCGACAGTTAAATTCGCGTTTTTGGAATTGAATTGACAAAGCACGCAACCGTTTAAGTCTCATCTCAAGCAATGACACAATAGTGTTTTTAACTATTTACGATTGATAAATGCCTTTATTTTTGTTTATATTTTATTTATTTAATTTTTAATTAAATTTTAAATAATTATTTTATTAAATTTTTAATTAAGGATCACAAACAACCGTTGACCACAATTCAACTTGATTAACACCAGAAAGAAGAAGCACATTTTTGAAACAGCGTTGTCAATGCTTTTATGCTATGTTCTCATTGCGATTTAATTCGCGTTATACGCTCTCAGAATTAGGTACATTAAACCGTTCATATGGCACATAATTCCCTTTTTCAAGGTTTTTATTTGTTGATTTTAATGGGAATTGTACGACAACCAATGACATTTGCATTAATATGAATATTTGTTTAAAATTTTGTAGTTTTTAGTTGAAATTACGCACAACCCACAGACGTAAGTACCCACCACCCACAGACGCTTTTTAATATTTACACATTTATTAAAAAAATTTAAAATGCATAATTTAAAATAAGAAACTATCAGTGATCATCGTTCCAGTTGATTGACAGGAGAAAGAAAATATCACCTATATGAAACAGTGTTGCCAATGCTGTAAAAGCAAAGCGTTGCCAAAAGAATGTTGGCAACATATGTTGCGTTCTTCGATATTTTAACATCGGAAAATTTTTAAACAAATGTCAAGAAAATCGCTTTAAAATTACATGGAAGTTTTGGAAGTTTGGAAGTTTTTAAAATAAAAGAAAAATCCAAATTAATAACATTTTAAATGTTGCATATTATTTGGTTACATAAAAATGAAAAATCGACATAGATCTATTATAGAATATCGATTACAAAAAGTCGATCCAGCAAAATATTTAGAACAGGTAAAAGTTGACTTTGATATTCAAAATTGTCAACACCATTTTTTAAACAAGTGGACCACGTGAAGTAACGTCGAGTATCACATTATCGGTCTAATCCAGATTTAGCGTTTTTATTTAATTTTCAAAACTGTGAACATTTTCTAAGATCTTTTAAAAATAATATTTTTACCAAAACACTCCAAAAAATGCTTGTATACTTTCAGCAGTTAAATTGTCGCACGACTTCGATTAGGTGTTAGATTAATTAAACAATATTATCGGAGATAAAGATCTGATCAGAAGTGTGCCATATATTGTGTGCTATATTTTGCTTATATTGCCAAAGCAGCCATATTCTTATCATGTTTACCCTTTCTTACATAAACACTATGAAACGGCGACATATCATCAGTTCATTTGAATCGACAAGTCTTGCAATGGTTTCCAAAACTAAATTCGGTCTCTTGGCCGTTCTCTTCTGTGCCCAAGCCGTTTTTGGCATCACTATTATCTCCAAAGCGGAATGGGGAGGTGCTCCCGCCACCAGTAAAACAACCTTGTCCAATAACTTACAATATGCCGTCATTCATCATACCGAGGGTGCTGCTTGCTCCGATAAGGCTTCCTGCAGCCAGCAGATGAGAAATGTTCAACACTACCATCAAAAAACGTTGAGATGGGCTGATATTGGTTACAACTTCCTGATTGGTGGTGACGGAAACATCTATGAGGGTCGTGGCTGGAATGTTGTGGGTGCTCACGCTACAAACTGGAACTCCAAGTCACTTGGCATCTCCTTCATTGGCAACTATCACAATTATAAACCCAGTGCTGCCCAAATCAATGCTGCCAAAAATCTATTGGCTGCTGCTGTTTCTCGTGGTCAAATCGTGTCCGGTTATGTTTTGTACGGTCATCGTCAAGTCGGATCCACCGATTGTCCCGGCACCCATTTGTGGAATGAAATCAAGACCTGGGCTCACTGGAAGGCTTAAGTATGGATATTGAAAGTGTATTATTTGCAAAAAAAAAAAAAAAAAAATAAATCGAAAATAATCAACAATTCTCGATTATTTTATTGAAGTTTCAGTTTTTTCAGACTAGGAAAATGACGACGGCTACATGGAGCTTATGTTTAAACAGTTCCGACAAAAATTTTGATGGCAAAGAAATAGGCGCCATATATCATGATTTTTACAAGGGCGTGATACGGTTAGGAACAGGCAACCTCCTTGGAAGTGACTATGGGTGATGATGCATACGCAGCTTGGCATATTTAGTGACATATCATAAAGGGGATGTCAGCCCAAAACCAGAATAATATCGACGTTTTCCCTTATAATTTGGCATTAATATAACATGTCGTGATGACAAGCTGCTTTTGTATCATCACCTTTGGCGTTAGAAGATATAGAAATTGATTTTCCCACATAAAAAGTAACAGTTGTGTCCCAGAAATTGGTTGTACTCATTAATGCTGTTCAAAGCTGTTTTCCTTTCTATCTAGCTTTACTTCTTAAAAATTTCGAGAATACAACATACTAAACACGCTAATCAAACTATGCAAGTGGCTTTACCGTTAAACGATTATTGACATTTAATTGCTGACACTTAGTATTTCTTGATATTGACAACACTGTTATTACTAATCGTTGCTTCTTCCTTTAGTTCTCGTTCATTTTAAAAAGCGGTCGGTTGCAAGTTTGTTCTTTAGTTGTAAACGTATAAACTAAGGAGATTTTCTAGTAAGTAATTAAATATAAATAATAAGAAAGTTTCAACGTAAAATGTGAGTGATTAATTCGGGCAATGAATTTGCAATTCTTGATGTTGCTTTCCCAAAGGGTACGAGTAAGTGTGTGAGAGAGATGTTTCCAGTTGGATTGTTGTTGTTTTTGGCGGATGGCTAGTAGCCGTTGAAAAAGAAATCTCTGGATTTCTTGTAAATATGTGTAGCATTAAAGTGACATTTAACAATTTAATTAATAGCTTTACAATGGTGAAATAACATATAAAGAAAATAATTTAACGACTGACAATTCGTTGTTTATCGCGTAAACTTGATTAGTTTGTGCTATTTTAATTCGATTGAAATGTTTCAAAGAGAAAGAGAGATATGAATGTAAGAATGGCTTTTCATGTTGTTCTTGTTCGACATTGCAAAAATCATGGATGGTTACCGATCTTTTATCGTTTTAACAGTGATCTTTCGGCATAGTGTTTTTGAAATTATTTGCATTTCCATATACGGCGTAATATTGGTGGTGTATTTATTTAAAAAAGAAATGTATCTAATGTGTGACATTTTCGTTTCGGTTTTATTAAAAACAATTAGCTGTGATTTATTAAAAAGTACGTAGATTATTAATATGGCATAAAATTAAAAAATTTACGAGAATGCAACATACAAAACACGGTAATCAAACTATAAATGTGGCTTAAAAGTCCTTTTTGCCGTTAAACGATTTTTACATTTGATTGCTGACATTCGCGATTTCTTGATATTGACAACACTGCTATTACTAATCGTTGCTTCTTCCTTTAGTTGTCGTTCATTTTAAAAAGCGGTCAGTCGCGAATTGTGTTCTTAAGTTGTAAACATATAAACTAAGGAGGTTTTCTAGTAAATAATTAAATATAAATAATAAGAAAGTGTTAACAATTGTTAATTTCAGTATTTGACTTCAAAATAAAAGTGCTTTAGCTTGAAATTAACGCAAAATGTGAGTGCTTAATTCGGGCAATGAATTTGCAATTATCGATGTTGTTTTTCCTAAAGGGTGTGAGGTAGTGTGCGAGTGAGATGTATGCAGTTGGATTGTTGTTGTTGGCGGTCGGTTAAAAGCCGTTTTAAAAGAAATCTCTCGATTTCTTGTAAATATGTGGTGCATTGAAGTGAAGTATAACCATTTAATTAATAACTTTACGATGGCGAAATGGCATATAAAGAAAATAATTTAACGACCGACAATTCGTTGTGTATCGCGTAAACTTGATTGGTTTGTGTCGTTTTTAAATCGTTTAATGTGTTTCAAAGAGAAAGAGTGAGAGAGAGAATGATGTTCATGTTCTTGTTGGACATTGAAAAAATTATGGATTGTTATCGATTGTTTGTCGTTTTAACAGTGATCTTTCGGTTTAGTGTGTTTGAAAATATTTGCATGCCCATTTACGTGGCATATTGTTGGTGCATTTCTTTAATATTGAAGTTTTCAAATTCTCTGATCTGTGATAGTTCCGTTCCGGTTGTTTTAAAAAGAATTTGCTGCGATTGTTATTGAAAGAGAATTCTGATAATGTGTTTTCCATACAAAGATGCCTTCCATGTACCAGTTAGATTCATAACAGGAATGCAACGTTTTGAAGAAGGTAAGTTAGTTTGAAGTTGAATTTTCACAACATCGATTTTATTATTAAGTACGCAGTTTTATCATATGAAAAAAATAGGTCTAAACTCAAATTATATAAAGACCGAGTCCAAATGTTTGGCACCCAAAATGGTTTTGAAACGATGTCGACCGTCTGTAACCACAACGTTTAGGATGTAACAGTTAACATATACAGAGTCATACCTGAACATTATGAAAATCCACACGATTCAAGTCGTTCAACATCTGAGTGATTTGTGAATTATTTTGCAAAACAGCTCTGGCGGCCTGGGCCAAATGATTGAGGGAAGTATAACGTCTTAGGGTTTGACAAAATGCCGATACAGCAGCCGATTTAATTTGGACCATACGTTCCGGTACCCCAATCATTGATTCGCATAGCCAAATTTCCATATTCTTGGCAAAATTTCGTATGGCCTGGGTCAAAGAGTTGGGTATGGAACGTAGAACGTCGGGTATAATAACATCCACCATATTCTGATAGAATATGTAATCAACCTACGAAAGGGGAAAAAGAATAATAATAATTATAAATTGTTCTCTATTTTTTCGATTTGGTTAACTTACCTCTCTTACAAATTTCTGAACACCAGCGCAATGGCAGAGCAAATAAAGTTTGGTTTTACTTAAATACTTGTCCTCTTCGTGACACTCATCTACTTGGGGGTTTTCGCGCCAAAAATCACGCCACAAAAATTCTATGGTATTAAAATCCAAATTGAGCACTGCATCTAGGAAATTTTCACAATGTTCACGATACATGGAACGGAATGTCTCCACGTCTTCCGGTGTCAATTCACTGTCAAAGGTGTTGTCCAATTCTATGGGAGGAAAGGGTGGTATAGCTCCCGAACCGTTGCCCAAAAACTGAAGGAGAACAGAGGGGACAGGAGTTATTATTCAATGTTCGCCACTCGTGAGATAGCTAATATCTATGTAACACTTGTCTTAGCCAGTTGAAGTCATATCATCCTAAGGAAACAATTTTCTAACTCAAACACTTACATGTCCACAAGCCTCATGCGTTTCCGACTTAAAGGTATGTTGTTTTTTGCCTCCCCTGTTGTGATGGAGACCTCCACCGTTATTGCCGCCACTATTATTGGACGTATGCACACCAGGTGCGCCGACCGACGATACAATGCCACTGGAACTACACGCCACCATGGCATTTGCTTGATCCGACGTCAAATTGGCTGGATTCAAATGTGGATGATGTTGATGGTGTGTGTGTTGGAATGCGTTGGGTTTTTCATCCATCATATGATTTAGTATTGATTCCGGTTTAATGCGTATACCATAATAGTGATATTTGGAATTTCCTCTGGTACCCAGACGTCTTGTACGCAAACCCGAAAACACTGAGCGTATTAATTTCCCAAAGCTGGCGGCATTAACCGGTTCGATTTTACTCTCGTTGCAATGTTGTATATAATGATTGTATAGTGTAGATCTTGGTAAACTTACGCCCTCGGCTGTTTCATAATTCCGTGATAACCATTTGATCTGTAAGAGAGAGATGTAACATGAGATTCCCCTATATTCAATCGGGAGGTCCTTAAAGAAAAAGTAGTGGACCAATATGACCCATATTTCAACTCGAACTAAATTTGATACATTTTTTTCGATGAAACTCACAATCGAAGACTCCATTTAAGAGTTTTCATTGAAATATCGACACCAAATGTCCATAATTTTGCTACCTTCAGAATTTTTTTGAGTCACATTTTGGTCGAACCAACATCTCTAGACATGAGGCTGAGGTTATAGAATTTTGATAAGAAAAGTTTCTGCATACATAGAATTTGGATTATTAATTTACAGTTCATGCAGGTTTCCACCTGTCGCTGAAACATTCAAAATACCGAAAATCAGCAGGTAACGGTATATATGGGCCTAACATGGATAACATGCAGGCTCCATGGTGTTTCCACTATAAGGGTAATACTGTCCTCGACTTAAAGCCTCAAAAAAAAAAAAAAAAAAATGAGAAGTGAGAGTACTCTTCAATTCCCTATATGAGAGCTTTAGAAGATCTCCTATTCTATTGTATCTATCTATCCTATTCAGCATCACTTTATTATCCACGGAAGTACTTCAATAAATTCCTTAATAAAAAAAGTTCCATCCCTGCTATTGGTAGCACGGCCATTCCCTCCCATCCACCCACCCAAAAAACTACTTACCGTTGCCGAAGCAATTTTATTGGTATTTCCCATTAATCCATGTTCATTGTCGGGTGAAATATCACTGCCACCACTGCTGCCTCCACTGGGACCGCCGCCGCCATTTGGCCCAATACCAGCAACATTTACCGAATTGGCAGTGGTTGAAGTGGGCGTTTGAGAGCTACTATGAGTTTCGGGTATAAAAGGGACTTCCTATAAAATTGAACAAATTTCAAGTTAAAGACAATTTGAAGCAGGAAGTATCTTTATATATGTAAACACATATTTACAAACATATGTATATGTTCAACAATAAAGAAAATATTTACTCACTGTTAGACTGTGTGGCGAATCACGGCTGTGTGTCTGCGATGAGGCATTCAACAGCAATGTTTCTTCCGTCGGCACAATGTATGGCAGCGTCGAATGATGTGGTACCGTCGGAGCGTTCAATGGAACCGCAGTAGAATAGTTAGCTGTGTGTGTGGTAGTATAGTAGGATTGTCCATTGGGTGGTTGGTAATCTCCTATGGGACAAAACGGATATGTCCTGAGGAAAGAAACGTGTTTAGTTACATTAGACAGTTGAAAACATTTTTTTGAAACTTACATTTGCGATTGACTTGAATTGCTGTGATATAACTCAGTATCCACATATTGAACTTGATAGTTTTGACCGGGCTCTTGACTTGAAACTGGAAATATTAAAAAACAACAAAATGTTGATAAAAATGCTTATGGAAAAAAAAAAAAAAAAACATTTTGGAGGCCAATCTTTATGTAATGAAATTATTTTAAATTTGTAGAAGATATTTTATATAAATTTTCAGGAAGTCTTTCGGCGACCAACGTTTTACTAGACTATGCATTTAACAGAACAAGACGACGAAGTATAGTTTCCCATCAAAAACTCCCATTGCAATACGCAACTCGAAAATTATTGACCATATTCTGACATAGCAACATAATAGAAGACTAAACAAGTAAAAACACAGCTAAGTTCGGCCGGGTAGAACTATTAATACCCCCACAATTTTAGAAAGACCTTGAACATTTTCAACAATTTCTGAAAAATACCGTTTAAATGATGACCGTTATAAGGGGGCTATATGAAGACGCGGACCTGCATAAGTAAATTTTTGTCATAGGCTGTAGTGCCTGTTAAGATATTGAAATACGAAATTTGAAACAATTGTCGCTAAAATCATGAAAATACCCCCACAAATAACAACAATTTTTGAATATCCCATTAGGTTTTTTATACCCTACAACACTATGTGTTGGGGGTATTATAAGTTTGATTGGGCCAGAATTTATGTAACACCTCGAAATATTGGTTTCCCATATAGGAAAGTATATATGGATCTTCCTAGCTCGCCGAGCTGAGTCGATCTAGCTATGTATGTCCGTCCGTCCGTCTGTCCATGTTAATTTGTAATCACTCTACAGGTCGCAATTATGGCCCGATCCTTACGAAATTTTGCACGAAGGTGGGGTTAGGGTCAGAATAGAACCCTATTTCTTTTGGAGATGATCGCCAAATGTTTAGGTGTTGAAATGGACCAAATACTGAAAAAATGTCGAATTTTGCAGTAGCTATACAGGTCGCAATTATAGACCAATCGACGCATGTAGCTAGAGTTTAGGGCGGGGAAGAAGCCTACCAATTTGGGTGGTCATCGGATAATATTTAGCGGGTAAAATAGACCACATCTTTTGTGTTGAAAAATTCAAAAATTTTTATTAAACCGCGAATATTTTAAATCGCGGCGAAATCACAAAGCCATGATAAAGTTACTCCTGATCTTTACATTGATGTTAACATCCAAAAAAATGGATATATAGCAAAATATGTGCGACATATATGTTTACCAAAGAAGATATGCTTGAAAAATCTCTTATATGTCGAGAACGGCTGAACTGATTTCGACAGTACTCATTAATTCAGAATGGCCTCTTGGCAGGAAAGAAAAAACGTCTGAAAAAATCGCATAAAAATATCTCTCTAAAGATGAAAATATTGATTTTCTAAAATTTTCTCATATTTTTTCAATTTAGTCATATTTTTGGCATATTTTCATTTTGAATTAAACATTTGGTAAACATTTGGATATCATATACAGATCGCATTTATGGCCCGATCCTTACGAAATTTTGCATGGAGATAAGATGAGGGTCAGAATAGAAGCCTACTCTTTTTGGAGATGATCGCTATATATTTAGGGGTTGAAACGGACCAAAAAACTGCCAAATTGCCAGCAGGTCGTAATTATCGCCCGATCCTCACGCACATTTGGATGGGGGTTACCGCACATTGCAAAAGCCAAGTAGTTTTGGATGGCCATCCAAAAATATTCAATGTGTGCAATAGTTTGCCAACTTTTGTAGACTAAATACGAAAATGTCCATTCCAGTGACTCTTTGGAGAATTCACAAATTCAGGAAAGACCCACTTCTGACTATTTCGTTAACGCTGACTTCGTGGAAGAATATAGTCAAATGTCTGTATCTCATATAGATGCGTTTCAGTCAAAAACCAATAAAAATTTTAATCTTTTGCCACTTTTGAGAGATTATAGGTCTTTGGGAAATATTGGTTCCAGATCTAGGAAGACCATTTACGTGCAAAATCTACCAATAAATTGGAAATGAGCAAATTAGTTTAAGTTGCTATTATTCGAAAATTAGAGAACGAAACCTGATGGTTTTCTTTTATTATTTGTCACAATATCTTGTGGAATTCTTACGAGTATCTCGCCTATATAAACTGTATCGTTTATTATAGTGTTGTAGGGTATTCAACGGTCGGCCTCGCTCGACTGTAGTCTTTGCTTACTTGTTTTGATATGAATATTATGAAAGGTGCAAACATCGACAAAAACAGTATACACTTTCTGGTTCCTCCCTATAAAATGTCAAAATTGTTGGTAATTAAAAGTTTTAGAGAATGCTTAATTATTTCAGGAAGAAATTCGCCACGCACTTGAGTAGCATCTAATTCGTTGCCATAAAAATCATCCAAATCCGACTTCTGACTGAAAATTATATGGTGTGGTTGACGTATTGTCGGATCGAAAGGCTGTCGGACCAAATTCGCATGGTCTGTCGGACAGATTTCAGATCGAACTCGGAATTAATATCGTGCGCATTTCTGTTTTTTTGCCTACTTTCAAATATTTTTCGGCCCGAATTCGTAAGAAAGGTCTTATAATGTTCTTATGTTTTATTAATTTTTGCCTTTGCTACGATAAACGATTTTTCTTTTGTGATATGGGAAAAAAATTACAAAACTGGTAGATTCCTGGAATTTATGGAACATGCCATTAATGTTGACATTTTTGTTTCGCTTTTCAACCGAATTGGTTTCACTTCAATAATAGTTGGAATTTCTAACAGCTAGAACACTTTCACTGAAAAAGGTGTGACATACTCAAAACACAAATTTTCGAAAAAAAAAGTCTACCGGGGTTGGGTGTTTTGGGATCGTAATGGTTTGAATCCAATATTTAGTATTTTTATTGTTTTTGTAGAACATAATGTAACCATGTAAGAGTATTTCTAAATCTGAGGCTAACCAATCTGTCTATGAAAATTGAAAAGTTTATCAAGCTCAAAAATAGAATAGCATTTTATTTATTTATTTATTTTTTTTTTTTTTGTGAAAATTAGGAGTTCTCTCATTTTACTCTGTGTGAAACCATATCACGGCACTACATATTTTGACTTGCCAGCTGCTCGAAAGTTATTTTTTATACCCTCAGCAATATGGGTAGAGAGGGTTTATATCATTTGATACGGCCAAAACGGGCCTCATCTAAATAAAGTTTTAGATGGTTTAAGGACATTAGGAGTCGACCTAGCGATGTCCGTATGGCTGGCTGGTGCGCACGTTAACTCTCGAAGGGAGAATCCGATTTGGTTCAAACTTTGTACACCGTATTATTATTATCAAACTTAGATCGAGTTTGGCAATATTGATCCACTCCTTCTAGTACCTCCCCGTCGAAAGGTCGAAACTTAAAAAAAAATCAAATATTTTACTGCACAGAAAGAGAAAGGATAATCCGATTTTGCTCCAACTATGCAGATTCTAATACATATTTGCATCAGTGCTAGGCCAGGTGCTAAAATGGGCAATATCGGCTGACTTCAAATGTACCTCCCACACTAAGCGTCAAAATTTTGACTAATTATAACTCTGTCCGATTGTCTTCTAATTACACACATTACAATATTTTTATTATACTAACACAAGATCTGCTGTGACAAAGGTTCAAAATTTTAATATCAAACGCGAAATTAACATTCGATTACATTCAGACTTGACAATATTTCCATCAACACAAGATCTGCTATAAAGTTGGTAGAGATCGGAGGAAATAATCTTAGAGGAAATAAATCCTCCTTGTTGCAAAACCAAGAACAAGAATGTAAAAATGATATTACGATAGCCGATTTTTTCGTTTGTGATTCTTGCAGGTTTTGGAGCATACTATTTATATTGAATTTTTTGTATATTTTCGATATTTTAAAAAATTGTAGCTCACAATGTCATGAGCACCACTTTTGGATTCCGGTTATTTTGGAGTTTTCAACCGAACTGATTGCAATTTAATATTAGAAAGTATTAGTGGCTAGAACACTTTCACAGAAAAAAGTTCAATGTCAGCCTAGGTTTTTAGTAATCTCCATAATGTCTGACATATACACAAACACATTTTTATAAAAAAAGGACTCCCTTATAACAGCATGTCTCAACTACACTGAATGGGCTACAATTTGGCGTTTTGGATCGTTGTGATTTAAATATTTTAACAGGATTTAAAACATTTTAGGAATTTTGAATTCAACTGATTTGTCTATGAAATAAATGTTCCATTAAAATAACCAGTTTATTTTTTATTTTGAAGCTTAAATCTGTTATAGAGTGTCCACCGGTATACAGGGTGAGATGAAAAAAAAAACTGCAACCAACTTCACACCGCTGTTTTTTCGAAGCCACTCGTCCGAAAGCTGATCAAATTATTCCAGTGAAAGCTCATCATATTGTTCACAAGCGTACATAAACATTTTAGTTAGAATTTGCCAGAAAAAAAGTTATTCGTGATGGAAATCAAGCGTAATATTGTGATTTCTTTATATTTGGCTGGAAAACCAGAAGTGGCTATCGTTAGAGCACTCCAGCATTTAAATGTGTCTCGTACCTACTACATTACGGTGATACTCTTATCGTAGCCCGCCGTCAAGGAAGTGGACGGAAGGAAACAGGAACATCAGCAGAAATGGTTCGAAAAGTAAAGAAGCGGCTTGATCAAAATCCCCGTCCAAGTGGCTCGTGAGCAACAGAAAAGACACCGCAAAAAAAAGAAAATAGACTCAAAAGAGCTAAAGAGTAGCTTCGCTTGGCCGAACGTGGTGAACTGTCGAATTTGGGTTTCTCCGATGTGAAAACATTCCAAAATATTTTGGAGGGTGTATTAAAGCCTTGGGCACGCAAACAATTTGGCCGCAGACCTTAAACATTCCAACAGGACTCAGCACCATCGTACTCAGCACGCGCCACCCAAGAATTTTTACAAAATGAGATTCCTCGCTTCATTTCCAGGGCACAATGGCCACCAAAATCCCCGAATACCAATCCGTTGGACTATTATGTCTGGAGTATTTTTTAAAGCAAAGTTGGCTCTAAAAATACCAAAGTGTCGATCACCTCAAGCAAGCGCTTCGTCGGGAATGGGCCAAAATACCACAGAGCAACATTCGGGCAGCGTGTGACGGTTTCATTGGCCGTTTGAAGGCCATAATTCGTGCCAATTCGAACAAATCTAAACTTATTCTTAAATTTGATGTCATTTCTGACATGTTTTGCTTTTATTCAACAAAATTAAAAAAAAAAACTAAAAATTATGGCGTTTGAGTTCTAAAATTTAAGGGATTTTGAAATCAACGGATTTGTCTATAAAATAAATGCTCCATTAAAATGAACAGATTTTTCTTATTTTGAAGCATAAAATGTGTTATGGAATGCCCGCTAGTATTGTATTTAAGTGTATATATTTTTTGAAGGCTTAGTCACATTTGTAATTGAGTACATAAGAATATTTTGCAAAAGTCTTAAGAGTACTTTAGTTTTTTTTTAAATATTTTTAAGTTGCGTCAAATCCAAATTTTAGGGATTTTAAAGATTCAAGGATAATAAATGACCAAACTTCCAAACTTAAAGCCATTTTTTATACCCTCCACCATACTATGGAGGGTATATTAATTTTGTCATTCCGTTTGTAACTCCTCGAAATATTCATGTCAGACCCAACAAAGTATATATATTCTTGATCAGCGTAAAATTCTAAGACGATTTAGCCATGTCCGTCTGTCTGTCTGTGTGTCTGTCTGTCTGTCCGTCTGTCTGTCTGTCTGTCTGTCTGTTGTAATCACGCTATCTTTCGAACAAAATGAGATAGAAGGCTAAAATTTTGCACACATGTATTTTTCCCAGTAGGCAGGTTAAGTTCGTAAATGGGCCATGTAGGTCCAAGTTATCATATAGCCCCCATATAACGGTACCTCCCGATATTCGGTATTTTGATGATTTTAGCGACATTATTCACCGGAATTATTTCAAATTTGGTATTTGAAGTTCAAAATGGATACTACACCCTAAGACGGAAAATTATCCGTGCAGGTCCACGTCTTGGTATAGCCCCCATATAACGGTACCTCCCGATATTCGGTATTTTGATGATTTTAGCGACATTATTCACGGGAATTGTTTCAAATTTGGTATTTGAAGTTCAAAATGGATACTACACCCTAAGACAGAAAATTGTCTGTGCAGGTCCACGTCTTCATATAGCCCCCATATAACGGTACCTCCCTATATTCGGTATTTTGATGATTTTAGCGACATTATTCACCGGAATTGTTTCAAAATTGGTATTTGAAGTTCGTTATGGGAACTACAGTCTGTGGCAGAAAATTGTCTGTGCGGGTCCAGGTCTTCGTATAGCCCCCATATAACGGTACCTCCCTATATTCGGTATTTTGATGATTTTAGCTACATTATTCACCGTTTATTTCAAGTTTCGAATTTGAATATGGTAGTGGCTTATGACAAACAATGCCTATGTATGTCCACTTCGTATAGACCCCAAAATAACGGCTATATTCGGTATTTTTAAAATTTTAACAGAATTTTTTAAGGATTTTATTTTTTTGAAAATTTCCAAATTCGTTGCAAATGGTGGAGGGTATTAAAAGTTCGGCCCGGCCGAACTTACTGCTTTTTAACTTGTTCATGTTTATTTTCAATTCTGGAATAACCACACCCGTTTACTAAATGTTCCAAAATTTGGTGTTCTTTTCCTGGAGTCAAAAGCATTTTTCATTTGTAATTGACTCTATCTGGCGCAAATATTTCAATTCGGCGACAAATGGGCTGATGACGTAATATTCTGCAATGTTGATCAGAGTTAAAAAATAATATAACACTTATTAATTTTTATTTTTTTTTTGTTAAATATGAAGGTTCTCTCATCGAACATAATAGAGCGTTAATTTTTCTTTTAATGCATTCCAATGAGGTCTTGACTGACCAATATCAATGAATGCGCCTTAACATTTTCAAATTTTTGCAAAGGTTTATATTACTTGATTCACACTTTCGGTTATAATCAAAATTTCACAATTCAGAAATCGATTTTCATTTTTAATAATTCACTTCATTTTTGGGTTGCATTTATTCCAATGTTTTTAACCTTCGGCATTCTTTTCAAATTCTTTGATACACCGTTTGAGTTATGACCGTTTCATTTAAAAATTCTTTAAGTTTTTATTCCTAATTTGTATAACTTGACGTCTGGAGATGGTTCAAACAACTGAATGGGTTAATTTTTTTTCAATACTCCACTACCCGCTGGTCAGCAGTAGTCAATAGCAAAAAAAAAGGAAAAAAAGCAAACACACACAGAGGAAGAAGAAAAACAAAATGGGGATAACTACTTTGGTCGGCTATTATACACCTGATGACTTTCGATTCGATTGATGATGGAAAATTGACTTTTGTTTGATGATGGCGGTGAATAGAACAGAATTTTTGCAGTATTTATGCTGCTCGGTCCCCCCACACCCGCATGATTCCCATGGGAAGAGATTTTGTCATACATACCCCCACAATAGGACAGGTTGTTGTGACGCCGATACATTGTTGCAGCTGGATTTGGTGGCGGAGGAGGTGGCGCTGGTGATGGTGGTGTTGCTATCGTTGCAGGCGAACAACTGTTGGGTGTCACTGGTGATAATGACGACGAGATTGCAGCAGTGGCAACAGCTGCAGCGGCGGCGACCAAAGGTGAACAACAGTTGTTGGCTGGAACACTGCTGCTGCTGCTGCTGCTGGCAACGAAGGTGGCCGAAGACGACGATTGCCTGTGATGATGGTGATAATGCGTTTGCTGTTGTAGAGGAGGCGGATGATGTTGGTGTAAATGTTGGACCAGGGAGTGATGTTGTTTGATTAAAGGTTGCGTCTGTTGTAGCTGCTGGTTGTTGTTGGTCGAGAGAGAGCCGTTAGCTACAATTGCTGCCGAACTGTGATGGTGATGTTGATAATGATGATGCAGACGTCGGGTCTGTGAATGCAAAAACTGTTGTGGAGGGACTGACTGTCGCAGCGTAGGATGCTGCAATGGTTGTGGTGTATAATATTGTTGTTGGTGTTGTTGTAGTTGACGATGTTGTTGTTGTTGATGCTGTTGGAAATTGGAATTGGAGTGCGTTTGATATTGATGATGATGATGAGAATATGCCGGCGCTAGCAATTGACTTTGTCTTGGTGTGGACGTTTGATGGTATTGCTGGGTCGGGTGGTGCTGTTGGTGTTGGTGTTGGTGATGATGATGATGACTATGACCCTGTATGCAATTCAATGGGGCTCGGGCCGCACAGCGACACTTTTCCAAAAAATGATGCTGATGGAAATTTGTTGACGTATTCAAATGCTGCAAATGTTGATGTAAATGCTGCTGTTGATCCAAAATAAGTCGTGAATGCATTCGATTGATTTGAAATTAGAAAACGTTTGAATGTAGTTCTTGCTGAAGTGCTAAGGTGGCGTTCGTTCCATATATCCGGTAAATATTCCAATAGCAGATAGTTTTTTTTTTTAATTTTTAAGGAAGGAAATCCACTTTTTTTTAAAAATGTGTGAGAAGTTGTCCTGGTCCCAGAGAAACTGAACCCATCTCCTTTTTAATTTTTTTTGCTATTCAAATTTTGATAAAACAACACTTTTTTAAATCCCGAGTAAATTGAGACGATTTATTAGCTGGACAACGGCCGAATAACGACTAAGGTTTCCATGTATCTCCACCATGGAGAAAATCAAGGACACCATTAAAACGGGGCTTGTTTTTGCTTCAATCGCTCTGGGATGCTGTCGCCACGTAGCAATGGCAAAGCAACACTGATTGTAAAAGTGAAAGTGAACAGGGCCGGAAGGTTCTTCCCACAAACACTTGTCGCAGGCAGCTAGGCAGGAGAGCTGGATGGTTGGTTGGCTGGCTGGCTTTCCTCTTGGTTACTGCTGAAAAGCTCTTTTGCTTATGTTACCCGGGCAACATCAGCGCGTAAACTGTTCAACGCACGTCTGCAGCGAATGGTCGAATTACAACTGAACACCAATTTGAACTTTATCCCGGCAAAATGCCTCAACTAATAGACAATGGGAGAGAAAACACGGCGACAAGGATGATGGATAGACGAATGGTTGGATGGGTGGATAGGATGGCATGGATGATGGGGTGGTTGAATGTGGATGAGCGAGCGGCTGACTGGATTGATGAATGACAATCATAATAACAATAATAATAATGGCGTTAACGTAAGAGCAAGCCATGCTAAGGGTGGTGGTGCGTACTGGCAGCGTTGCTACCACCAAGAAAAAAAAAAGATAAAATCAAATAAAAACCCCAAATTTCCTCCATTCCGCTTCAAAATCGCAAAAGGAGGGGAGATTTATTCTCCATGACAAAAACTCCAAAAGTTTCCTCAGAATTTGGAAATTGGATACCTTAACAACAATATTTTTATTTTACGAGTACTCTTGTTGTTGGTGTTTTTGTTCTCTTAAATTTCGCTTAGGTGAAAGTAGCTTTTACGCACGGTTTTTTTTCCAAATTATTTCCTTTACAACGCCCTCAAACCCTACATATCATAAGCGGAAACACTTGTACGTACTGGCAAACAACATACCCAGTAAAAAATTGGATCATCCAACGATTAATCGTAGGACGCTCCTTTTCGAGCAATGGAGTACTCCTTAAATCTCCGACTCTCTTGCATTTTATACTCTTTTTTAACATTGCATGTCCTAGGAGGCGAGCACTCCTTTTGAGCTCCCATTGGATGACAGACGGAGTACTCGTTTTCATCTCGGAAAGGAGGACAAAGGGAGTAATCTTTGTTATCTCCTGAAAAAGCATAGACGGAGTACTCGTTTTCATATCGGAAAGGAGGACAAAGGGAGTAATCTTTGTTATCTCCTGAAAAAGCATATAGGGAGTACTCCTTTTGATCTCGGAAAGGAGAATCAAGGGAGTAATCTTTGTTATCTCCTGAAAGAGTAAAAGAAAGTAAAGAAGTAAAAGAAAAGAGTAAAATAAAGAATATATATTTTATCATTTATTTTTAACGAAAAAAAAACAAATAATTCATTTTTGTACTATAATTTCTTATAATTAAAAAAACATATTAAATACTTTATTTATTTAGATTTTAGGCTGTAGGTTTGCCGGTAAAATGTTGCCTTACATTTGCGAAAGGCCAACTTAAAAGATTTTTCAAATTCAGGATAAGTTTCGTAGGTGTCTCTGAGTGATTCTGCAAAAATAAAGGAAAAATAAACATCATGTACATATTATTTAAAACACGTTATAAAATCAAGCTATTACCGAAATAAAAAAAGTTAAACAACCGATATTTGTTTATGGCTGTCTTATTTTTAGCTCCATCCCAATTTACCCGAAGCAAAATATTGTCACCAATCATTGCATGTAACGCCTTTTCTATTTTGTCTTTGCCAAATTTTAGTTTCATATATGATATCTGAAAATAATTAAAGATAAATATAATTAGCTTTTAGTACCAAATTCACTTAAATTATGCATTAAAAACTCTGGCTTACCACTTCTGATTCAGGCTCGTTATTAACTAATTGTTCTGCCGAATTTAATTCCTCTAGTGAATTTATTGGAAAAATTTTGAGATCCTTGCTAGTTGGGCGTATGTGTTTAACGACCTGTTCTAACAAAATTGTCTGTTTACACATAATTTTCTTTAAAGCTTCGACTTCAGTTTGAAGGAGATCAATTTTGTTTTCCAATTTTTTATTGGTGTTTTTTGTTTCATTGTTTGTTTCTAGAAATGAACATAAAATCAAATAATTACTATGATAAAAAATATAAAAAGAGCTATGAGTTAACATTACCTGCGACATTATTCGGTGTGCTTTGTACAGTTTCATCCGTAAAAACTGATTGAGTTTGGAATATGTTCGCATTAAAATTCATGGTTCTTAAGGTAGAAAAATAGTTTGAAATATAGTTTAAATATTAGTATTTACTAAATTTGACAGTGGTGTAGAATAGGAATAAATACAAAATATTCCCCATCAGGTACGCAAAATATCTTGCAATATATGTCACGCATGTTAATTTTCTCTCGGTGGATATTTAGTGTTTTCGCCTTACAAATTCCTAAACACTTTTTAGAGTCCACTGGGTACTGAAACAAGCTTACTGCATCTGTAAATGCGTTACCGACTACGTATTCTTCGCCGCTATCTACCAAGAAACCATATACTTTAATTGGAACCATACTCATAGTGAAGCAAAAATTGTCAGGAGATTTTCCGGATAAGAAATATGTGTCGAACTTGTATCTCATAAACAAGTTGTTTCTGTGTTTTTGCCCAAGTGGTAAGAATTTAGGATCATTTGTTTTCAAAAGCAAATGCCGCTCCATGCATCGATTATTTAGCTGTTGGCTAATGTATGATGGTTTCCGACAATCTTTTTTTAAGGTTTGCAAAAAGTTCTCATATTTATATGATGAAAAATTTTCTACATTTCCAAAGTTTTCCACGCATTTCGCCAAATGTAGTAAATTGTGCACGTTATAACTGATCTTATCACTTCCATATATCAAGGCAAAATCGGCAACAAAAGCTTCCATTAGTTGTTGAACGCATTGCAAATTCTTATGACAATTTGAAGGACACGAAACCATCCGATATGCTGTATGTAATAGTAAAAAGTGTGTATATAAATCCTCATGCAATATGTTTTTAAAAATAATTATTCCCGTGTAAAGCACAACTTGCCGGAATTCCTTTGCCTTCCACCTGCATACCTCGTCAAATAGTCTACCTTTTCGAGCAAACTCCTTTGGGGTATACTTCGCAATATACAATATTTTGCGATTTAATTCATTTATTTCCGCTACATTTAACTTTGATTTTGTATGCTTGTTTTGTAAAATTAAACGCAACATCTTTTTAAACACTCCAAGGTCAATCAAATGCATAGTGTCAAGCGGAAATTGTGTGACCATCTTAATGTTGCATAATTCCAAAGGGTGAGTTTCGCTACGAAATTGCTGTATGTGATATGCTTGACTTTTTCGTGCTAGGAAAGCTTCATCAGTCCTGGCATTTCCGGGTACTATAGCATAATTTAGTCTCTTATTTTTATATGAAGCTTCTTGCTCACATTTCGAACATCCTTGCGCAGAAGTGTGTCCCACTGTACCGGTTAAAAAAGCCCTTGCAGGTGTGTCACAAACAAAAAGTCTAATTTTGGGTGTAAAGTATTTATCACCAATTTTAAAACCTTCATTTTTCAAATAGATGTATTCCTCCACAAATCTTTTTAAGAAATCCTTTACATCCGGAGGTTTTGATTTACCAATATAAGTAGCAATTAAAAATGGTTGTGAGTTTTTGAACTCTGAGAAAGAACATAAGATTGGCCATAATGACGTTGATGAGCTTTTATAAAGCGGCATTCCATCCACAAATACATCAAGAAGTAATTCGGACTTTGCATTCAACAGCAAGTATTGGCCATGCATCATCAGCGCTTTTTCTAATCCAAAATGAAAATATTCACCTGGTGGCATTTGTGATATTGACGGGCTCTCATTAGGGCAATAAGAGTTTTCTGCATATAACGCTTTCAACAATGTTTCCTTGCATAGTGCAACATTAATACCTTCACTTTTTAAAATGCTAAGAAGCGAATTACAGCATTCGTTGGAAACGCGATTATTTATTACCCACGAAGCAAGCTTCCGATCAATACAATCTTTTTTTTCACTGCTGAAACTCGTATCATTTGGATTCATTTCGTCATGAATATTAAAGTTTTCCGATTGGCTACCCTCATTTGATGACTGATTAATTTCTATAGGTGCCGAAAGTTCCTGATCAGTAAGAGTCTGCCGAGTACAATTTGAGAAATTTTCAATTTCTTTTTTTACAAGCCGTCTAAGATGACGTTTAGAAACAAAATTATCACACATTATTTTACCAATTGATTTTTTTAATTACACTTTTTTAATTTTTTTAATTACACTTTATTTACACTTACAACACGTGTTTCACTTCAGACGGACACAAGAAAACTGAGCAAATGGACGGACAACCATAAAGAAATAATCGAACATGACGAAAGCAACAGTTAAACAACAGTTACATCAAACAAAAAAAAACATGCCAAAAATGCTTTGATGCATCCCTTATTGATCCATTTGGAGCATAAGGCGAGACATCAATTTTTTTCCAACTTCGTGGAATTTTTTGGCAAAACAAAATTCATACATTGCTCGCTTATTACTCCAAATGGATGAAGAAATCATTACTCCTCTATTGCTCGGTTGAGGATTACTCCAAATATTTTTTACTGGGTAGTAACTCCCAACACCAACACCAATACCACCTCCATCGTCATTATTATTGTTATCCACTCACACAAACACACACATATATCCACTGCCACTCATTATACTCCCCTCCATCACACACACACACACAACACAGCCAGT